AAGCAGTCTTTTTAAAATCAGCCTCAACTCCTCCATTACATTTTCTGCTTTCACTTCATCAAGCATATGGATGATGATAACATAACAGGTACTGCACCAGAAATCCCCTCTGCATGAACTCATTTATGCAGCTACAGCCTTCTGTACAAATGTTACCTGTCAAATGCCTTTTCTCTTCATTTGCATGTATAAGCTGTGGGGCAGATGGTGTTCCTTATTTCCTATTTTGTTATGGGACCAATGTTCAAACTTCAAAGTAGATATAATTAACTGTTTTTATATATATTCATCTTTGGCATTGAACCTAGCATGACCAAGACCAAGTCATTGTTTGTGTTAAGTTTTTGTAGGATTTTTCTGTAAGGACAAATTACATTCCGTGAACTGAACAGAACTTAGGAAATGCCCTTTTTCTTTTCCCTGGCCTAATGTTTTCCAACTTCCTTCTTTTTCATGAATTTATTTTACTTCATCATGACTGTGAAACACTCTCTTTTGGCCAGGAACTACGTGTACTTGAGCAAACTATCTTAATCTCCATTTTTATTTAAAAAAAAAAAAAAAAAAAAAAATCCACCTTTATTTTAAGCCCAAATTCCAGAGACTTTTCCATAAAGAATTATTTCCATAAGTGATAAGGCTTGATTATAAAAGTCTTTCCATAGGACTGAGGCTGTCTTTCAAAGATAATGGAAATAAAGGTGTTTTGAATGGTCTTTGAGTAGATGTTTAACAATTCCACATACAGTAAGCATAACAGCTTGTATTCAATGCGGCTGTGAGAAGTAAATAAACTGCAAGCAATTTCACAATTTCATTCCTGAAAGAAACCTTGACCTTGATATTCCCTGTTATGTATATAAATAAAAATGAAAATGATTTGTGCTGAGCTAGCTAGCAGATTCTAGAATAGCAGTGCAGATCTACATTGAATCAAGGTGTTCCATACAGCCTTAATTTCCTTGGGGGGGGAAAAAAAAAAACACAACAAAACTCACACATAGCAATTTATTTCATGGTAATCTCTTTTTTGCTGAACAAGTGGCTGCGTTTTCTCAGTAGCAAACTAAACCAGCTGGCAATGTAATGTAAGGAGTAACTCAGAGATGTAAAATCCTGTGTATACAAAGATTTTTGCAGTTTAATTCAGATGTCAAAAGGCATGTTGCTTCTAAATGATACTGGATAAATAGCTTGGAATTATGCCCTTTTCTTAATTTTTAGCAGCAAACAGACAAATTAAAGTGTCAGTGCACTGAATTAAAAACTGTTTTATGCTAAGACTCTTGAGCCAGCAACATTCTTTCCAAATACCACCTGTGCCAATAGATAGACAGTTTGTAGAGGAAAGACTAATGCTAATTTTTATCATTCAGCATATTGGCAAGGCATTGCTGGAATTCAGTACTCACTTTTATAATATCACATCAGTATTTAAAAACTAAAAAAAGAAACCCAAAAAATGAAATCATGGTAGATTCTGCACACTCATTCAGACAGCAAAAGCAATTTCCATTGGAATGTTCTTTATCTTTTAATAAAAATTGGTGTTGCTTGCTACAGGCCTCAGTGTTAAGAGTTTTACTTAGAGAACTGCTTTGAACAGCTTCATATCTCCTTACATAACTGATAGAAAAATATTCTATTTGAGATTAAAAGAAATGGTTAGCTATGAATTAAAAATAATAGATTAATCTATACCACAAAATTATGTTGAAGCAAATAATGGTATTTTATTTATCCTACTGCAAGTCTATAAATTCTGGACATGCGTATGTTGAGCAGATTTCTTCCTTTAGCAGTATGTTGAAAAAACTTTACTAACAGTTGATTCAGAATACAAGTACATTTGGAGCAAAAAAATCACAGTAAGTATTTTCCCTGGCTAAAAAAAAAATAGCAGCTGATTCATAGCTTTATCTATTACTTCTCAGGATAAACTTGCTTTTCTCAGAAGAGTGCCCAAATACTATAGTGGGATAAAAATACAGTTGTCAGATGACTGATTTTTATGTTGTTAAGCTTTCTTTACTCCTATTATGTATTAAACTCAAGCAGTTGCAGCTCCTACACCATTTTACCACTGCAAACATTCATCCTGAGACTAGCTTTATCTATTCAAATTCAAATAATGAAAGATTGAATGTGTTGCATTTTTTCCTCAGCAAATATGGATGTTCCTTCAGGATATCTTTCCCTCAGTTCTCTCAGGAGCTTACAGACATCTAAAAGCTCTTACAAATTTGTTCAAAAATTTCTAGTCCTACTGGTATCTATCTACCTTCAAACTCTATTTACTTTAGAGAGCTAAGGATTACCTACACACTGGATTCATTTGGAATCATAAACCCCAACATAAATACTTCAGGAATGGCTCCACTTTGAAGCCCAGCTTTTAGGAATTTCCACTTCATCACATTTTATTCTGTATATTTTTAAATATTTTCCCCGGATAACCTGGTGTTTAAAAGTGAAAAGTTCCCATTTTAGCCTTACAGCTACCATTCATAATAAAAATACATGCAACCACATAAATATAGAAAGGTACTCTGATGCATTTCTCTCTGTCTAAATTCAGAGGACTAAAAAGATACGAATAGCAAGAGAAGCAGCTACATAAACAGCTATGACAAAAGGTTAAAACTTGATAGAAAGTAATGGAAAATGTTTTATCTTTAAATTTAATCTTTAATGTTCCAATAATGCCCCCCAATTCTTTTTTTAGGATACTGTCAGCTTCTTAATGGATAGATTCAGCATCCTGTTAGCAAAAGATTATTCATTACATCTCAATCACACAATTGTCTTGAATTGTCTAGCAGCAAAATGTGTTTATAAGACATCACGCTTTTACACTATTTAGGATGGACTAGAATCAGGAGGAATTCTTGGCATTTAAAGCAAAATTTCTCTTCTGGGACTTGGGATTCTTTTAGGAATAGCCTGCTTCTGAATCTCCATGCATTACTTCTCTTATTTTTCTCTTATTTTTGCATATGGTTGTAGGTGCATTTTCCACTGCATAGAATTTGCACAGAGGTATTTGTTAGGCCTAAATCTATTCAATAGAGTTGAATAGAGCAAAGTTAAAAATTCAAATTCATCCTTTTCAAAGAAGAGTCTGGAATTTCTTTGAAAGTCTGGCTGTTTGTCTCATTACAGGCAGATAAAGAATCAAGATAAAGCTGTACAAATCAGGACTAGAAATAAGACTCATGACAGAACAATTAATGAAATATTTTTTGTCTATAGAAGATGCATATTCTCAACTCCATGGAGTATTTAAGTCAAGATAATTTTATATTTTTCTAAGCTATTTTTCTAAGCTCATCTAAGTGATAATTTTGAGATAACAAATGTCTCATTGAAATTGTGTTTTATTTGCTAACTTAGAATCCAGAATGGTTACTCTTAATAACTGTCCCTAGCTTATAAAATATATAGGTGAATTTAGAAAATCACATTGCTATAGAAATTACATTGATTTCTCACATTTGATGTGGAACTGATCTCCATAAAAGCATAATAATGCAAACATGAGTCTTCCAGATCAGTATTTTTAACATGCTTTGGAGAACCATGACTAAGTTACAAATGTCTGGAAGGTCACATATCCTGTCTTGTGACCACAGCATTGCAAGCTTTTTCTCTCACATGACAACAGCTGACAGGCAGCTCTTGTTCTTTCTTTCCACCCACATGTGAGTATTTCTGTTGGCAGATTAGCCAATTTGCTAGCAGAGCAAAAGAGAGCAACACATATGTAAGGCCACTGAACATAAATAATTTCTGCTGATGACAGTGTTTGAATTGATGCTACTCCAATCTGGAGTTAACAAAATTCCTTGAATACTACCCTCTTGAAACTGCTAGAAATTGCTGAATCTAACAGCAGCTGCAATTAGGTCATGTATTTGCAGAGTGCCCTAGGGAATCATGGCCAGTCAGGTGTTCCACTGCCTATCAAACAGTGCTATCCACTCAAAGAAACAAGGAAAAAAAGTATCTGTGCTACATATTGCTGTATCTTTTCATCTGTACCTTTGTCATTTATTCTCCAATTTCTCAGGGTAAATAGATGTTAATGTAGCCTTAGGTTCAACCCCTCAGCTGACCTATATGTCTAGGAGAGGCAGAAACAAACATGCTGTCCAAGGCAAAAAATATCTTAATTCTATTCATATGTAGTGTAGTAACCAGCAGACATACTCCAATGTTAGAAATATCAGTGTTGTCTCACATCTGGAGCATTACTATCAGATTTCTTCAGTGTATAGGTAAATATGAAAAAAATCTTTCCATTTGCAAAATGTCGGCATTCTTGTGAGGAAATGGCCAAAATATTACTAAGGTGTGTTTTCTATTAATTGAAGTTATTTTTCATTGGATCTGTGTTATCTACTTACATATATTTTAATGAAAGTGGGGCATTTTTGTTTTCATCTTTTTGTAGGGAGTGATGGCTCAGAATGGCATCCTCTGACATTAAATGAAGTCACACACTAGTGTAGGCTCTGTTTCAAATCTGTGCTCAGCAAAACAGACATCACTTTAAGGCACGCATTTTTATCTTTGTCAAACTCACAAGCTTGTATTACAAATCTGTATACCTCAAAAATATGTAGCTTCTCGATTTTCTGATTAAAAATAGTAATCCAATACTAATCATTTTATGCTTTAAAATTTTTTCATTTGTAAAGTTTCTTACGTACTGTTTGCTATGCCCTATCCTTTTTTCTGTTATTTAAAATAATCCTATCACTTTGGTTTATTCATATCACTATTTTCTATGATGACTCATACATTTCCCAACTACGTCATGATGGAACTGAGATGAAAAGTTAGGAGTCAGAGAGTAACCCTAATATACTTCAGGAATCTTCAGAGCTTTTTTTCCCCCATTTTTGATCAGAACTAAGAAAGAAGAATATTGGTTTTGCTCCCATTAACAGAATGTGGATTTGACAGAACATTAAAGGAAGACATGTAAATAGTCATTTACATGTGGATCAATAATAGTATTTTGAAGCTTAAAAAAAAAAAAAAAAAAATTCACATTCTTTTTCACTTTCGCATTTGTATCTTCCAGGGAAAGCAGCTTGGAAAGATTCAGATGAAAGCATGAGCCAGTCAATGGAACTGCAGATAAGCAACAATAAAACTAGTTACCTCCTCTACTCTTCATGTTCTAACCACAATAAGAACTGCCTTTGTGAAAGAGGTGCACCATTAAACAGCTATAACATATGGAAAGAAACATCTATTAAATTTCCAAGTAGATTTTCTACTATCTGAGACTGAAGGCCATTTTACTTACTCACAGACTAACATGCAATCAATATTAATTATCAAAGAAAGGAGTGAATAATGCTGTTGTGATAAGATCAGCACAGAGTAATGAACTAAAGGAACATAAAAGCATTATTTCATTACAGTGACTTCGTAAGTGACATCAGCATTAAAAAAAATATAAGAAAAAGTGTCAGTGTTACCAGAAAACTAGAAACATTTGACTCACTCCTTTTTTTTCTGTTTGCAAAGTTAGGCACAGCATACTATATAGTTATCTCAGAAAACAGGTAATAATGGCACTTTGATTTTTTTTTTTTTTTTTTTTTTTTCCAATAAGACTACATTCAGATACGAGAATTCCAGTTGAGATTTTAGTGCTAATTCCTTATGAAATACCAAGAATATCAGGGTTTTACAATGTGGTAGTAACAGTTGTTTAATCAACATTCTCTGCCAGAGTAAGGTGTCATAAAAAATAAAATAAAATGAAATATCCTTCCTTCACTGTGCATAGTTAAGCACTATAGTCTGCTCATTTTCTTCAGCTGTCATGCGCTGCATAGCAATAATGGTAATCCATTTTACTAAGTAACAAAACAGATTTGATGGAAGTTGGAAATAAAGGAAGTGGAAGAATTTTGTTGGTCAACTTGTTTTCCTTTGTTCAATATTAAACAAGGGCTGATTAAACAGTTAAGAAATAAAGGGCATTTGAAAATGTATCATTTCTGAGCCAGAGCCTTTTTATTGATAAAATAGTCCTTTTTACAGGACAGAAGACTACAGGAGATATTGATTTTGTATAGTACAACTAGTGATGAAAATTTGGTGGAGATATAACAATGCTTATATTGTTTTGGACTACACAGTTGTAGAATCAATAGAATTGCATTTGTAAGTGGAATACACCCACTCATTACAAGGGTGTTCTGGGTGAATAGCATGCAGTAGTGACTCAGAAGATTTGGACTATTCACTCATTCTACAAAAAATATCCAATGCAGCTTCCCATACTTAGAAAACTGTATCTTGTACTATAAATCATTCAGAATATTCAGGCACACTTCACTGATCCTGGCTTGCATCAGAAAATGTTGCAAGCAGGAGCAGAGAGGTGATTGTTCCCCCGTATTCAGCACTGGTGAGGCTGCACCTCGAGTACTGTGTCCAGTTTTGGGCCCCTCACTGCAAGAAAGATATTGAGGCCCTGGAATGTGTTCAAAGGAGGGCAACAAAGCTGGTGAGGGCTCTGGAACACAGGCCATATGAGGAGAGGCTGAAGGAACTGGAAATGTTCAGCCTGGATAAGAGGAGGCTCAGGGGAGACCTCATTGCTCTCTATAACTTCCTGAAGGGAGCTTGTAGTGAGCTGGGGGTCGGCCTCTTCTCTCGTGTCATTAGTGATAGGACCAGAGGGAATGGTTTCAAGCTACTGCAGAGGAGATTCAGGCTGGACATGAGGAAGTATTACTTTTCAGAAAGGGTGGTCAGGCACTGGAATGGACTGCCCAGGGAGGTGGTGGAGTCACCGACCCTGGGGGTGTTCAAGGAAAGGCTGGATGTTGTGTTGAGGGACATGGTTTAGTGGGAGCTATTGTTAACAGGCGAACGGTTGGACTGGATGATCTTTTGGGTCTTTTCCAACCTTGGTGATTCTATGATTCACTGAATCAGATTTTTATATCAGAAGTATTATAGACTAATCTCATATTGTGCTTGCAGCAAAACTAACACAATGCCACAATTCTGAAACCTTCATGTGGCTTACCACATGTGAGTTACTGAACATGCTAACAGATTATCTGGCCAACTAGAGTATTCATAGAACAAGATTCCACTAAATCCACAATGTAACAATCCAAACCCTGCTTTACAGAAACCATTTTAAAAGCCAGTATGTTCCATACAGAATCACAAAACCACAGGGTTTGGAGGGAACCTCTGGACATCATTATAAAGCAGGTTCCCTGCAGTAGACAGCAAAGGTGGATTCTGAATATCTCTAGAGAAGAAGACTCCACAGACTCTCTGGGCAGCCTGTTTCTGTTCTCTAGAACTGTGTTCCAGTTTGTGCTAGTTGCCCCTTTTTCTGGGCACCATCAACTTGATACCTGACCTTTTAGATATTTCATAGAATCTTTAAGGTTGGAAAATAAGATCATTAGGTCCCGCTATCAATACATCACCACCATACCAACTAAACTATGTTCCTAGGTGCTACATCTACACTTTTCTTGAACACCTCCACTTCACTGGGCAGCCCATTCCAATGCTTTACCACTCTTTTCGAGAAGAAATTTTTTCCTAATATCTAACCTGAACTTCCCTTGGTGCAACTTGAGGCCATTACCTCTCATCCTATTGCTACTTATCTGGGAGAAGAGACTGACCTCCACCTTGCTACAACCTCCTTTCAGATCACTGTAGAGAGAGATAAAGATTCCCTAAGGCTCCTCTGAAATAATCCCATTTCCCTCAGCCGCTACTCATAACCCATGTCCTCCAGACTCTTCAGCAGATAGGGTGGTTGTATCCAAAGTGCAGAATCTAGCTCTTGATCCTGTTGAAGTTCATTCAGTTGGCCTCAGCCCACTGATCCAGATCAGATCCCCCTGATAAGCCTTCTTAACCCTTAAATAGATCAGTGCTTACTCCCAACTCATTGTCATTTTCAAACTCACTGAAAATATACTCAATTCCCACATCAAGATCATCAATAGAAATATAAACAGAAGTTATATTCATACTTGCATGACTTGCTAACCTATGTTTTAGATGTGGCATCTTCTGCTTTCTTTTGTGTTTTTCAAGATATGCCATTAAGCAGAGAAAGATACTGTTAATGTTTCTTGATGAGGACTTGATCAGTTGACCAAGTCAATCAATTTGGGGAACAGCCTGAACCTCTGATTGATCAGCTGAGGCAGGCAATGAGTCAGCCAAAGGAGCACAAGTGAAGGCAATTCAGCTGTGTGACTGGAAGGGGTGGAGCCTAGCTCCACCTCTCTTAGACCCCATTTAAGGGCTCACTGCTACTGAGGAAGGACTTCTCTTGGAGTTTTTCCTACAAGCTCAGGGTATGGGTAAGCTTTTCCATTCATTTCCAATTCTTCTTTTCAACATGATGATCTTTCTAGTTATATGCTCTCTGAAGACCAACTTAACTTCTCTGTGTATTTGTCAATTATACATCTGTATACTCATTGATTATACAAACGTAAGCCCTTTAAAGGGTCTTCTATCAAAAATACAACAAAATGTTTGCCATTTCTCTCTCCTCTTGAGAGGACATGGAAGGTGCTGGAAGTAGAACTGGCCACCTGGTCCCTGGAGGAACACACATCTTTTAGTAAAATCTTCTGCCTCTATGCTGCCTTGGCTATGACCATAGTAAATGGTGACAGAGCCATGACAAACTCTTAACAGCTGTATCTACTGGCTGTTCTCAGTGTATGTGTTGAGGAGAAATAAGTTTTATATTCTTGCTAAAGCCACTGTATTTAGCAAAAGTGCTAAGTCAAAACTGAGACATAGTTCAGCAGTTCACTATTTCCTAAAGTAATGTAGCAACAATAATTATAAATATAATGGATGGAAAACTTATTCACTCACCTTCAAGCTGTAGAGTTCAAACTGCATATATTGCAATAATCTTGTAATTCTGCCCTTATAAATAGTGCTCATTATACTTCCCTGAATTTCATATGAGAAGTGCCTGAGAAAGACATGAATGATATAATTTAAAGAGACATAAAAGATGTTAAACGTGATAAATGTATTTACAATGAAAGGTCGAACAACATACATATTTCTATTTGGTAAGCCTTGGTGAAAGTATGTCTTGAGTTTCAGAGAAAAAAATATCTATTTTGATGAAAACTGATTCTTATTGCACATTCATAGGAGATTACATTGCCAATGCTGAGAATGATGGATCAGTTTTACCTACACTGCTCAAGGTACTCAGATAAACTTCCTATCATGTCTGTCATAAAGAATTGTGTTAAAACAGACAGGAGTTACTTATTTAATGACAGAATAAAATTCAATAGCATAACTTCAGAACTTACTGAAAGTATGAGGTAGGTTTGAAATCAACAGGAATTTAAAATATATAATGCTAGCTACAGGTGATACTACTGATACCTGTGCATGTATCATATATAGCAATACTGATGTATACACATTCTTTCTTATATCCAGATATTTACATTTCAGTGTCGAGAAATCACTGCATCATCATCTCAGCTAAACACTAGAATTCCAAAGATCATCAAGCTGGATGACTTTGACTACAAAATAAAGTTCATATTGAAGATTTCTTACGTTGCAGTAGATCATATAATGTTTATTTTGCTTTTTTTTCTTCCAACTGCATTCATTTATATGCAGAAATTGGAACCACAGTTTCTTGGTAAAATGAACAAAATAGTGTGTGGATTTACATAAATCTCAGACAGGCTTTGAGCTGATCAGGATTAATACCAGAAAACAATTTGGGGCAGCAGTCTCCACCTTAAGACTGCAGAGCTTATACTAATATACAAATGATTAAGTAATGTATTAACATTATTTCTAACATATTTTTAACTGTTTACTCCTTTTATTTTACTAATTTCCATCACAGATGTATCAGTGGTAAATGTTCTAAAATACTGTTTTATATTTAGCAACTTTTATTTTTGACAGTAAGACCACCTGTTTTAGTTGTTTGCATTACTCTATGAATCATAGGTCACACTGTACACAAAGTTAAGCAAAATTGCGATATCTACAAATTCTTCCCTCATGGTGTCTGCAAGCTTGTTTTGGAACTTAGTTTCCCATCTGCTGAGATTTAGAAAATACAGCTCTGTAGGAACCTTTCTGCAAATGATTGAGTCCACGTGATAATTTTTAGTCCTGAATGTCCGAGTAGAGATAACAGATACTTTGTGAAAGTAAAAGACAACAGCAATACTTTTTTTTTTTTTCTCTCATTTCCTCTTCTAGGCCCAATACAAAGGAGCTAGTCTAGTACTAAAAGGAGACTAACTGCTTCTAGAACTATTGGTAGCTGTTGTCTTATCAAATCTCAGATGTCGAAGACCAGAAGAGGAAGGTCATGGAGAAGATTCAGAGTGTGGCAAGGGATTATATAATATGCATTTAATCTTGTTTTTCTTCTTTTTCCAAAAGCCTAATCAGCCATCAAATGAATATGTGAATCTATACTGCTGAGGAAATGTGAGTCTTACATAACATATTCAATAACTGCTGGCATCCAACTTTATTTTGGCCACTGCACATATGGAATTTTGGATGCTGTGAAAGTTATTTCATTTTCTAAATAAAAGTTGCTTTTCTTTTTTGCATATATTATCCCTGAGTCAGTACAGATTTTTTTTCCTCTTTTCTGTGCAAATCTGTGTTTACCTTATTTCTGCAGACAGAAAACCATGTGTTGATCATTTATTTTTATACCATAACAAAAAAAAATAAGTATAGTACCTTTTCTCTCTGTGGATAAGCACTTCACACATGAGCTTTCTGATCCTCTGCTGTAGCTGCCTAATTCTTCTTTTAACCTACTTCAAGGCTTTACAATCTGCTTGCATATTCCTTTTCACACTTAACTGAAGATGTTAACTGATGCATTCATCCTCTATTTCATTGCAAGCACACTCTTCTCTCATACTAGCCATCATTCTTCCCAACAACATGTACTTTTCCTCCCTAATGCACAAGCAAATGCAAGAAATAAATTTATACAAAATAGCAACAGCTCAAAACAGATGTTAAGTAGGTAACACCCTATATTTCCAACACACAGGATATTATGAAGCAAAAAGGAAGATAACGACCACACTAGGTTTGGACACATGTAGTTGTAGTAGCAGACTCTCCACTTTCCCTGTTTTGGTTGTATTTTTTTCTTTTAGTGCCATTAGCTGTCATTGGAATCAGATGTATCATTGCTCTTGGCATGTTATTTCCTCTTTATCTTTCCTACACTTTATTGTTACTGTTGGTATTGTTAATATGAAACTATTCTTGTATTTTCAAAAAGCATACATAGTATCCCTGGCACAATGGCCATTTAACCGGGTATATAATCAATGAATATTAAGATGCTATATTTATGAAAAAAACAAGAGAGTTAGGCAAAGCAGATAATAATAATGGATAGAGAATAGATAGGACACTTACCTGTATCCTGGGCTCACATATGAAGCTCCAACAGAGGCAGATCTCCAGAAGAGATCCTTCCTCAGTGGTAGTCAGCTCTTAAATGGGTCTAAGAGAGGTGGAGCCAGGCTCCTCCCCTTCTGCAGCACAGGTAAATTGCCTTCACCTGTGCTCCTCTGGCAGACTCATTGTTTGCCTCAGGTGATCAATCAGAGGTTCAGGTTGTGACTCAGCAGTTCCCATACACTGGGGTGTTACTGGTGTAAAAGAGAGGAGAAAATACTATTGTCCATGAAGAAATCACTTAAAAGCAGAACCATCAAAATGCAGAATTTTAATTGCTGTCCCTCTCTTAGAAATAAGTGAAATGTTAAATTCTAAAATGAAGAAGTTATCTGCAGGCAGGAGTTTTAGTTTTGTGATTTTTTTTTTTTTTTTAATTTTTTTTTAAGTATGGAACCAATATGCATAACCCAGGCTAGGATTAGAATTTTATACTAAAGCAGCTATATACAGGTAAGCAAATATCATAAAAATTGTGTCTGAGTCTGGATTTGATTTACCTGTTGCAGTTTTTCCAAAGCATGTAACAAGCCCTATTCTTATTTTTAATAACTAGTTTCAATCAATTTGTAATAGTGTTAGCATAGCTCATTTAAATCAGACCTTTCTTGTACCTGCTTCCATTTTCAAAATTAATTAAGCTGTGGTACATTAACTGGAAGGAAGAGGCCAGAGCTTTATTTATACAGAAAACAATAAGAGCATACATGAAGAGCAATAATAAAAAATCCTAATATTTTAGAATTGACCTTATGAAGGGGCACTTTGTTAAATGGCAACAACTTCTTTTCAGACAGAGTAAACCATACCAACTAAGTGAATCATCCACTTAAACATCATGGAAATATTGCTCATTTCCTACTTCCTACCCGTGCAGCCATTAAGTACCCATCATACACTCCATCATACCATTAGTAGTCATATTTTCTTTTTATTGTCTTTTTTTCACCCACCAAAAGTCTTAGTGCTTTTAGTTTAATATAAATACATAAAATATAATTATTATAACTAACCTAATATTTCCCTTATTTATCTGATAATACTTTTAAAGTAATTAGAACCTTCTACAATATATGTTGCTATATAACATGTTTATTCATGAACAAAATCAGAGAATCTGCTGAAAACATCTACAGAAGGTTGATGTACCAGACATTCGCAGATGGGAATGGAAAAAACTGTGAGTTTTTGGGTGGTTTTGTTTGCTACTTTGTTTTGTTATCTCTTTGTTTGTTTTCTGCAACTGTTTAAACAGGTGGCTGCATGTATGAGAGAGAAATCTTTGTGACTGGTATTTTATTGAATTTTAATTCAAGTAGTGGAGGTTAAATGCAATGTGCTTTTGCCTGCAGGCCAGCCACTACTGAATGCACACCTGCAGACAGCATTTTGGTATTGCAGGCTGCAAGCAGAAAACTCCCTTGTGATATATAGATGTTATTTTGAGGATGGCTCCTTTGGTACAAGATTGGAGAAAGCATTTCATCACATGCTGTCCGGCACTGCATAGCTGTATTTCCTCTCAGTGGGTCATTGCTCATCTTGCCCTGCTGCAGGGTATGAGCCTCAGCCTTGCTGAGACAGTATCTCATGAAGGGTATGCAACAGCTACTGAACACTGTCAGAGCCTCCTGGTGGTCCTCAAGTCCTAAGCATAGTCTGAAGATTTTGCAGAGGTCCATGAGCTCTCTCTGGATTTTTCTTCTTAGGCCAGGGACCAGGATGCGTATACTCTTATGTTCACTGTTGATTTTTCATTCATTTTCACATTCAACCTGCATCTACTCTCTTCTATTATCCTTCAGAATAAACAAGCTTTCTGATTTTAATTAAAACACTTAAGATGCTGTATTAGATGGATGCTAACAAACACCTGAAGAATGCCTTTGCTTACTGGTCTTGAATGCACTGCTAATTACCATTTAACAAATTAATTCAAAAGGCCCTCTAATCCTCAAGCTTACAAGTCCCTGTAGACCCTGTGAGCTCCATTTATTTTCAGACTGACCACCTCTGATCTGTCTTTAGTGATTTTGATTAGGTGAAGAGTTACTACTCCTCCCATCTTTCCTACTAGACAGCCCTCTCCTTCTATCCCCTTTGTCCAGTGCCATCTGCCCAGTACGTACAAGCATTCCTATTGCCTGCATTTCTGACCAGGCCCAAGATCCTCCTCAATTTCTCCTGCTCTGAAATGAAAATGTTGCTGGTAGATATCTACAATGGAAAAAAATAGAGAATGTGACATTTTGGACACTTCATTAGCAGAAAGTATTTGAAAATACTATTGTCATGGTAACACAATTAAACCAAGTCTTTCAGGAATCCTCTGCAGGGTCTTTCCAAGTGCATGATCTTTAGTTTTCAGCATCAGTAAGAAGACTTAGACCAAGGCCTGAGTTACTGCTGAGTACCAATATGAATTAATATAGGCGTTTAAAGGCTTTTCTTTAAGGGCTTCCTCTAGGGAGACTACAGCAGAAGTTTATTGAAGCAGCTAATAGAGCTTTTTCCAAATACAGCACATTCTGTTCATTCCTCAAAGGTACAAAACATTTAAAAGAAAAAGAGATGGTTGCTGGCAAATCTGTACTATTTAGACCTTTTTACGCTGCTGTCAGCCTGACTAACTCCCACTCTGGCAAATGCATCTCAAAGTGCTCATAGACTTCACTCATCTCAGCACATTTCAGCTAACAGCTTCATCTATTTTAGAGAAATTAAACGGTTTAAGATGGTTCCCTGTGTATCCTCAAGGTTAGCCTTGAATCTAACAGGATTGGGATGCAGCAGATAATTTTGAGTTTTGACCTTTTGATGACACGTTAGCTGGCTTCTGCTGAATCTGGTCAGGCATTCTGCTGCCTCCAAAGAGATACAACAGCTATTTTCAGCTCAAAATCCTGGTTTTACTTGAACAAAAACTGAAACAGTACTAGAAAGATTTTTTAAAACAAGAAATCTTGTGAAGATTTAAGGGAGATACAACAGATCACAAAAGTTCACTGAATGGCAGCCCTTTTCTTCCAGGCCTTCCTTCATCCTGGCAGCTTTTTGGTAATTTCCTCTGCCAGGAGCACATGCACCACACCCAGCTTCCCAGATTATTCTCTGCTTCCCAGAATATCACATTTTTCCCCCATTATATCCCAAGTTGCCTTTCTATCACCCTTTACTATTGTCTTCGCTTTCCTCAGTTTTGCTGTGTTGCTTATCTGAAAAGACCAAAGGAGTTGGATCTTTACACTCCTGAGGAGGTGCTCAGGGGGTAGCTTTTCAATTTTGCTGTATTTAAAAAAGGGCTGCAAAGAGAACACAGTCTCTCTCTTCACGTGATCCATATGGAGAGGACAAGGGACAATGGGTACAAGTTGCAGTGGGAAGTGTTTCATCTTGATATAAGGAAGAAATTCTTGACAATGAGAGCAGTTGATTACTGGAACATACTCCCCAGGGAGTTGGTGGAGTTCCCACCACTAGAGAATTTCAAGACATCACTGGACAGGAGTTAGATAACCTCATCAGGACTTCCTTCCCCTAGAAATGTCAGTATAATCTGGGTCTTTGTGATGATGATTCCTTACCTACAGGAATCTGGCAGAGCAAAATATAGCAAACATGAATAAAAAGTCATCTTGTTATGGTTGTAAAAGAGAAAAAAATCTAAGTTTATATAAACATATATGAATATATATTTTGCAAATGCATCATGTATATATGTACACATATATATATAATCACAGAATCATAGAATCCTTTAAGTTGGAAGGGGTCTTTAAAGGTCATCTAGTTGGCTTTCTGGGCTGCGAGGGGACATTGCTGGCTTGTGTCCAGCTTCTCATCCACCAGTACCCCAAGTTTTTTTTTCCTTCAGGCTGCACTCAATCCTTTTATCCCCCAGCTTGTATTGATAGTGTGAGTTGCCTCAGCCCAGGTGCAAGATCATAGAATTGAATCATAGAATGGCCTGGGTTGAAAATGACCATAATGATCATCTAGCTTCAACCCCCTGCTATATGCGCAGGGTTGCTAAACACTACACCTTCAGGAAGGTCAGGGTGAGCCTTTGCTTCCCCATGCCAACTGACAGGTATTAGCAGAGGCCAGAAAGCACAGACTTTCTGTTGTAAGAACTCATCCTAACAGTTCTTGCATTTGGATTTGTTGAACCTTATGAGGTTCATCTGGGCCTACTGCTGAAGCCTGTCTCTGTCCCTCTGGATGGCACTGCATTCCCCTGGAGTGCTGACCACATCCAACAGCTTGTTGTCATCATTACATTTGCTGAGGGTGCACTTGACTTCACTATCAATGTCATTGATGAAGATATTAAATAGTATAGATCCCAGCACTGACCCCTGCGGTTACTGATCTCAATCCCAACACTGAGCCATCAACCATCACTCTCGACTCAATCCTGCAGCCAGCTCTACATCCATTGAACAGTCCACCCATCAAATCCATATCTTCCCAATTTGAAGAGAAGAATGTTGTGGAGCACCGTGTCAAAGGCCTTCCTGAAGTCCAGATAGATTGCATCACTGGCTCTCCCCTTTTCCACTGGTGCAGTGATACCATCATAACTGGTTACTAGGCTGATCAAACAGGATTTGCCATTGGTGAAACCCATGCTGGTTCTCTTGTATCACCTCCCTATCTCCCATATGCCTATGCTTCACGCACGTGGATATACTTACATACTAATTCAGAAATGAGACAAAATATGATAGTATGAATATAATATGAAACAATAACTTTATTTCTATTTTGAAAATACCTACTGAAAAGTTCAATTATGGAGCCTGATTTAAAAAAAAAAAAAAAAAAAATAGGATATACACAGTAATGCTGATGATAGCACCAGACCCAGCAATTTTACACTCCGCTATATTTCTCCTATCATGGTGGCAGACCCACATTCAGTGTTATCTTCTGACTCATTGGGTTTCATCTACCTCCCAAGTGTGCTAAGTACCATGTAATAAAACACTCTGGTGTAAGATCGTTTCATTTTCACCTGTTAATGCTTTTCTACTTAAATATTCTTGTCCTGAATAAGATTTCAAGTCAGATCAAATTACAAAAGGCAGCATTCCCTCTATATCTGTAGTTAATACTTTTCCACTAGGCTCAAACGACAAAGTCTGTCAAACACGGGAAAACAACTAAAACACTCTTA